AATTGTGACCTTTGTGTGAAGCACCTTGAATGCCCTTTCTCCACGATTTTGGGAGAAGTTCCAGAATCTCTTGAGCTCCCAGAGGTGAAATGCATTACACACATTCATCATTGTCAGGACTCTTGTGATCCCTGAACAATAAATGCATGAAGAGCTCTTGAATGAATTTCTAAGTGGAGTAGGTTTGCATAAGGGCTTTTCCCATTTGCTTCTGGCTTACTCCAAATTGCCAGTTCTTTCTTCATCAGTTGTATTTTAAATCATATTTTGAAAGCATGATAACTAACACCTATTAGGGCTGCAGCCATCCAGTTGTGCAAGACATTTAATGCCAGATCGCACTGTCCAAATCTGACCTGAAGTACACTTGTTAAGCCATTAGTCCTGATCTGGTGGCATCTGCCTTCAGAAGGAAAGCATCTTTTCTTCAATGCTCACAAAATTCCTGGGTGGGATAGTATAGCCATCCCTGTGTTTAGACAGCTGATGCCTCTGCTCTCTGGGGTCATACGGAAGCACAAGCAGGACTCGGAATGCACTACCCAGCTAAGTTCAAGCATATATTGCACAAAGCTGCCAATCCATTGCATCTGCTTTCAATCTATGTACTGCCCTCTCCTTACCCTCTTCACTAGGGATGGCATTTTTAGTCCCATTTGCTGGAACTCCTGTGATTCAAAACCTTTTAGGCACTTTCTTTGGAATGAGGATGAATCAAAACCAGAATTAAACAAAACTAGAAAATATTTTAAAAGGAACATTTAATGGGTACACATTTATAAAATCAGTCGAAAGAATACAACAATAAATGATCTATGAACTTTATAATTTTTTTTTCCTAAAATACAGGAAACATACCACTGGTAAAGAAGTTCAGTTCAACATTTTTATGTTGAACAGGTTGAATCTGTTAAAAGGAGTACAATTCACTCAAAGCACCTATTTCTATCTGTTCTAAACTCTTTTTCTTCACCTTAAGTAAACTGGAAGAGCCAGTTGTGTGAAGACAGTAAAATCGGTTTGATGGTTTTGGGTGGAGGAAGGGTTGTTGGAAGGGATGGAAGGAGAACTTGGCCTTCTCTGGGTGGCTGATGGGAACATGATAAAACCACCAGGGTAATCTCCAACTTCAGGCTTCCTGGTGGCTTTTTTAAGTACTCAAGTAGAGAATTCTTTTTTTTTTTTTTTTAAATATTTTTAATTGTAATGGACACAATACCTTTATTTTGTTTATGTAGTTGTGTTTTTTTCCCCCAATGTGATGTTGAAGAGCTAACCCAGTGCCTCATACATGCTAGGCAAGTGCTCTACCACTGAGCCTCTCAAGTACAGCATTCTTAATAGGCTATAAAAAAATAGAGCTTGTCTTCATTACAAGTGTTTTACAAAAGGTGTGGCATTGAACCAGGCAAGTCTAGGACAGCCCGCCCATCTATGCAGAGACTAGTGAGGCCCATGAACACCAGTGGAGACTGAGCAGGCCCAGGACAGCCCCCCAATCCTGGCAGAGACCATGTCGGATTAGGTCCTGACTTCCTTAACAAGAGTCCTAAAGCACAAGCAGTAAAATCAAGAATCAATAAATGAGATGGATTCAAACCCAAAAGCTTCTTCTCAGCAAAGGAAACAATAAGGTGAAGAGAGGGGCCACAGGGTGGGAGAACATCTTTTACTATACACACATCAGATAGAGCCTTGATCTCCGGGATATAAAAAGAACTCAAAAACTTAACACCAAAAAAATAAATAACCCAATCAAAAAGTGAGTTAAGGAACTGAATAGACACTTTTTAGAAGATATACAATCAATCAACAAATACATGATAAATATTCAACTTCTCTAGTAATTAGAGAAACGCAACTCAAAATTACTTTAAGATTTCATCTCACTTTAGTCAGAATGGCAATTATCAATACAAGCAATAATAAATGTTGTCGAGGATGTGGTGAAATACACTCACATATTGTTGGTGGCACTGCAAATTGGTGCAACCGCTATGAAAAACAATATGGAGATTTCTTAGAAAACTTGCAATGGAACCACCATTTAACCCAGCTATCCCACTCCTCAGTCTATACTCAAAGGATTTAAAATCAGCAAACTTTAGTGACACAGCCACAAGGATGTTCATAGCAGCTCAAGTCACAATAGCTAAACTTTGGAACCAACCTAGATGCCCTTCAACAGATGAATGGGGAAAGAAACTATGGCATATATACACAATGGAATATTACTCAGTATTAAAAGAGAATGAAATTATTTCATTTGCAGGTAAATGGATGCGGATGGAGAATACCATAGCAAAGTAAGCCAATCCTAAAATCCAAAGACTGAATGTTCTCTCTGATAAATGGATGCTGATCCATCATGGGGGGTGGGGTGGGTGTGGGGATAATGGATGAACTTTTGGAAAAAGGGAAAGGAGGGAAGGCCAGGAAGCATGGGTGCAGGAAAGATGGTGGACTGAGATGAACTTCATTACCTTAGTGTGAGAAGCCACCGTGAATTACTTGAGGGTCTTCTCAGTATGGTAGCCAGGGAGATTTAGGTTTGGCATTGTGAACTATCCATGGATCTCCTGTGACAATAGATTGCCCAAATGCACATGACTTTTATCTCTGCTGTACTAGGAAGACCCCTCATAGTAGCTCTGAAGATGGGCATAACGCATTGGGATCTGGACAGCCCAATTTTAACCTTTTTGGTGAAGCACATTCTATGGAAGGTCTTTGATGTTTCCCAATATAAATGAAGCAGGCATGGGCTCCATTTTGCCAGAGTCTAGAAGCCCAATCCATATGATCGGCTTGCCCATCCTGCCCTCGTTTTTGAAGATATTTTCGTTGTCCTGTGGTTCTTTTGCTGTCCTATTTTTCCTAGCTTTCATTTCTCATCTTTCCATGAGGGGAACCCCATCCCTACTGCCCACGTGGGACACTGGTGAGACCCTAGGTTCATGTATGAGTGCATATACATTGCAACTCTATATTATGTACAACCAGAGAAATGAAGAGTTGTGCTCCATCTGTGTACAATGAATCAAAATGCATTCTGCTGTCATGCATAACTAATTAGAACATATCATCAACAACAAAAAAATGTGGCATTTTCTATTTTTAGTGGAGGACTGTGACTCTTTCTAGAAAGGCTTGACTCCACAGGCTTCTCTGGGCCATCCTGGAAGGTACTTAAGCTTTGGTACTTAAATAATGGCACCAATTCTGTAGGCCAGTTCTGGCACACAGGCTGCTTTGCAGAACATGGGTAAGCAGTGATAGTTCCCTTGTCTTCCCCACTGACGCTCCATGGTCAGCCCCGCACACTTTGGCCCTGCTCACTCTTGCTGCTTTTTGTATCCATGCTTGGATGGATCAAGGATAAATGAAAGGAGCATATGCTCTGTGTACCTTCTCAGCTCTATTTAAGAAAACACAAATGGAAATACAACCTCAAACCTACAATTTTGCTATGAAACCAATACCCTCACCCAATGGTAGTATTGATATTGTCACCTTTAAAATTAAATTGGCAATACATAGCAAATTCTAGTATACATTCTTTAATTTTGTAATCCAAATTCTTGGTAAGTCTTCTGAGAACAATGAAAATATGGAAAAATATTACTAGTACAAAGATTTTCTGAAATGTTATTTGTTTTAGTAAAAAATGGATATAGCCTATGTTTTCCATTAGGGCAGTGCTTAAATAAAAGCTCATTTATGTCATATTATGCAGCCATTAAATAAACATATATGCCATGTAAGTAGAGATTAAGACCTTTAATAAATTAAGTGAAAAAGGAAGTAAAATTGAATATTTGATATAGATAGAACAAGCTTTATTGAAAGTCATTCTGGATTATGGGGTAATATTTTAATATATTTTAATTACATAATATAATTTCATGTGTAACATGTAATCATAAAAGTAAGAGGCAAAGAAAAATAAACGGATTTTGTAGATTAGGCAGAAAAATGTCAAACCCAACACTTTTTAGTTATTTTGGTGACACGTGGGAAGATGTGCCTAAGTCTCCTTTTAGTTCCATGCTGGAGCCATGGGGATCATTCTGCTGAAGGTCATCTTGGAAAGGGCACAGTCAGCCCAGAACAGCAGTGAGAACCATCCCACACTCTTACATGCAAACAAGGATCTGAGAATAGACCATGTCTCACAGAAACTACTGCTCACACTTTCTTTGCCCTGTGATTGCCTGTAATTCTCTGCATCTAGGCATTGGTCAAATTTACTTTTTCAGATAGTTCATTTGATTGTTTTGCTTTTACTAGGGATTTAGCCCAGGGGTGCTTTACCACTGAGCTACATCCCCACCCTTTTTGTTTTGAGACAGGGTCTCACTGCATTGCTTAAAACCTTAATAAAATGCTGAGGATGGCCTTGAACTTGTGATCCTCCTGCATCGGCCTCCTGAGTCGCTGGGATTTCATAGATGATTAGTATACTACAATATTTAGAAAATGTAATTTATAAAGCATTAGTATCTAATATGGTGAAGCTTTACAATGTTTATTTAGTTTGCTAACTAAAATTCTGATTTATTTTAACTTTTTGTTCAAAGTCTTTTATCAAGTCTTCCTTGCTTATTGCATGCTGAGAAAATCCAAATGGAAATTTTGACTCATTCTTTCCCATATCTATCTCTGTAGAGGAAAGATCTTATGACAAATGTTATGGTTTGGATATGAGTTGTCCCCCAAAAGCTCATGTGTGAGAAAATGCAAGAAGTTTTAGAGGTGAAATGATTGGGTTATAAGAGCCCTATCCCAGTCAGTGTGTTAATCCCCTGATAGGGATTGACTGAGGGTCAGTGTAGGTAGGTAGAGAGTGGCTGAAGGAGGTGGGTCACTGGCGATATGCCTCTAGGGTATATATTTTGTGAGCTTAGACTCTCTCTGCTTCCTGAAGCCATGTCCCCAGCTGCTCTCCTCTTCCATGATGTTCTGCCTCACCATGGGCTCTGAGACTTCTGAAATGGTGAGTTCCAAAATAAACTTTTCCTCCACTAAAATTGTTTTTTTCAGGTCTTTTGGACACAGAGGCAAAAAAAAAAAAAATAACCCTGACTAAAATAATTATATAGATTTGTATATATCCAAGGCATGGTTACTTCCAATCAAATGCAATACTTTTGTTGCGTTCCAAAATAGTTTTCCATGGTAGATATATGTACTGTTAAAAACAAAATAAAGGGATACACTTAAACATGGATTTCACTGTGACAGGGTTGGAGGTGTAGCTCAGTGGTACGGTGCTTGCCTAACATGTTCAAGGTGCTGGATTGGCCATAGCATTGTAAAACAAAACAACAAAACCAAAATACACTATGGCATATTTATGGTCACCATTTTACTTCCAAAAAGGAAACAAAAAATTTCATTCTTTTTACTCCATTTGAGCCTATTCTTCAGACATATTGTGCAAAGCCTTTATCTGTGGCCACTGTGGTGCTACTTTCTCTTTCATGTAACTCAGTGCTTGAATGTAAGGAGGAAGTTGTATGTACTTTTCTGGATTTTGCAAGATAAGATCATGAATGTTGCCTACAGCAAAGAAACTTCTTAATGTGAAACCACAAAACTATTCTGTTGGCAGCCCCATGGCCTCGGAGGAGGAGGAGGGGGGGACCTGCTCTGATCCCATCACTAACTTGAGAAAGAATGGTGTTCTCTTCCAATCTGTCATTTTATTAGTTAGCAAAGTTTCTGTCCGTGTTGATAAACTTCAGGCCATGGTGAGAGAAAAAGAGCTGTCTTACCCATTTCTGTATCCATTATTCTTCTCTAAACATTCAATACTATGCTTCAAAAGTCCAGGTAAATTCAACTTTCCTTTAAATATCTGATTTTCCATTCAGTGCTGATTCTGAGGATTTTGAATCCCTTTCCCAGCCCCGGCGGATCCGCTTAAGGGGATTGTTGATGCACGGCATGATGAGGATAAACTTGATCACCAGCACTGTGCAGGGAATGATAAGTGCTAAAACATAGGCTGAAGGAAGGTACCATCTTAGAATTGAAGGGCTGAGGAACCTCTTCCCGCCATAGAGTAGGGCGTGGGCTGTGCATAAGATCAGGGTCAAATAACCCAGTTTGGACTGCAGACAAGAAACAAAAAGGAATACATTAATATATTTATACCTTAAAGTGAAATGCTATAAACCAATAAAATATTTGTCAATAATGACAAAGATTTGAAACCTATAATATTTAGGACACTTTACTAAGTGCAGGAAGAAATATTAACCCTCCTTGAGGGGTTAATACTTGATGATAAATATTTCATTAAAAGAAAGACTTATTACAGATGACATGGTAGTTTTCTCTTAGCCTGCCTGGATGGAAAAGTTTCTCAGGGGTAAACTCTTTTGAGTTACAATTAATGTACCTTGCCTTGGTCCTCAGTGCTAAAATTCTTTTATATCTTGTTTTTAGAGGTCAGAGACAAATATGACCTCAAGAATCTCGGATTAGTATATGCTACTTTGAATGCAGATGCTAGCTAATTTCTATTGCCATAAAGAGCAGTTTGCAAATTTATACTTTGTTCCCTCTCCCTTGGCCTAAATTCTAAAACTTAGTGTTTATTTCTTGATGCCTCGACTAAAGGTATTATGAGAAATGTTTGGCTGCATTTAATCTGTGGGAGACTTAATATTCAAACCTAATTTCAATTACTAGTGATCTCTTTTATTATACTGGCTCACAATGTGCATGCATCACAATCATCCAGAAGACTTATTAACAAATGACAGGGCCCCACTTCCAGAGCTTCTTATGGAGGAGGTCTGGGAATTTTTGTATCTAACAAGTTCTCAGGTCATGCTGTTGCTACTTCTGCTGCCATACATTGAAGATCACTGGTGTATAAGAATAGTTACTGCTTTTAATAAAGTGCCTGGTGGTTGATATGTGGAAAAAAACAATTTTCACTCTTTCATATCAGCAATAAGTCTGGAGTGATTTTATCTATCAAATCTTGTTTTGAAGGTTTTAAACTTCATTGCAATGTCTACTTCCCTTATCAATATGTTGATATTATAAGGTTAATTTTCAGAAAGTTAAAGGTTTGTCTTTGGGGTTTTTTTACATTGCACATAGTAATATCTCCACACCTAGGGTTTAATAGTTCTTTGTGCTTTTCGCTCTAAAGTCTTAGATATGGCTCTGGGAGTAGTCAGAAATCTTGACAAAGTGTGCCCACTAGGAAACCAAACCATTATGGAATCTTCCTGTTTGTACCTGAGTTTAAGTCCTTACCTGGATAAACCGGAACTCTCTCCAGTTCATCATGTTGCTAACTGATGGCAAGGAAGTGATTCCCAAGAGCACAAACAGAAAAAATCCAAGGATTCCCACAGACAAATATGAATCACTATGCCAGGCTGTAGAGGTAAAAAATGGATCATCTTCCTTGGTGATCACCTAAGAACAATTATAATCAATTTTTTAAAATTATACATTTTTTATAAACTGCTCATATTTATAAAGGAATTAAACAGTAACTTCGCATGGGTTATTTGCTGCCGCAAACTGTATGGCATTTTTTTCTTAATCATTTAAAAATAATTGTAAAAAAATACACTTAGAAATATTTTTGGTAGAAAAAGTAATTCTTTCTGCTAGGATTTCATTACAATTCTTGACTCTGGGAGTTGTATAAGGAGTTTTAAATTAGCCGATAAATCCCTAAAACTAAGTAAACATTTACTTAAAACTTCATTCTGTATGGATTTTTGTTACTCAATCAAAACTTAATGTTCTCAGGGAATCACATCATAATTCTGTTTTTCTGTGGATAATTCACACTGGGATCTTTCACATTGATTTTCTCTTCATATAGAATCAAGTCTATCACACCACAGATTGAGAGGAATCAGGCCCTTGTAATGTGACTCTAATCCAAGAAACTTCCATGTATGTTTTAGGGAAATGATGTAGAGAAACCCACAGAAGCATCATCAATGAGTTATTGCCTAATATTATTTGAGACTGCAGTAAGATGGATTGATCAAAACTGATTATTTCTAAACTAGAAATGACTTAAAATACTTTTTCTGAGATTGCTTTAAGACACCTTGAACTGATTCTGAGTCTTTTGACTCAGCATAAGATAATATTTGATATTTGCTCAGAATTATTTACTTTTCTAGTTACGGAGGACAACATCCTTCAAGTCAAACATTCACAGAGCAGGAAGCAACATTTTGTGAATCTGTTTGCATTGCTGCTATAGCACAAATGTTTGAGAAGGCTCCTTATTTTCAAGACAGTTGGCTTTGACTTCCAAAAGGAAGTAGAGTGCATGAAAGTAGAAATTTGAAAACACATGGGTTTTCTTTTATTGAGTAGGTGTCCTTAGGTTTCCTGAGCTCAAAATATGCCAGTTTGTTAGTATCTCAGTGACCTCTTGGGAATACAGATCTGGAACCAAGTGAGCCTGGGAATATAACTTTTATTCTTAACAGTTATGTGAGATCTCAACTGAATTCATTAAAACAACCTTAGTCATGAAATCTCTATTTAATTTTAAAAATACAGATGCTTAGCCAGGTACAGTGGTGCATGCCTGTAATCCCAGTGGCTCAGGAGGCTGAGGCAGTAGGATTGCAAAATTCAAGGCCAGCCTCAGCAGCTAAGTGAGGCCCTAAGCAACTTAGTGACACCCTGTCTCAAAATAAAAAATAAAAAGGGTTGGGGATGTGGGTCAGTCCATGTGTAAGCACCCCTGGGTTCAATCCCTGGCACTAAGTAAATAAATAAAATAAAGATGCTCAGAGGAATGATTTTCTCTATTGTTGGAAATGGATATCATGTAGTCTAATTCCTCTTTGATATAAGGACTTGGGGAATACCGATGAGTAGAGATTTACCTTAGTAAGGGTTGTGTTTCTCATCCTCCATCGTACATAATAACGAATAGGAATCACAAGCGTGTAGATGGCGTGAAGGAAGGCGAACCCCAGAGCCACCAAGCCAAGCTGCTTTCTGCAAAGCATCCAGTGGTCGAGCCAGTCTGGGAATCGTCGGTATTTGGTACCTTGGTACAGCTGCAGGATGGCGGCAATGACGCCAGGAAGGTAAACCAAGGCAAGCAGGGTAAGTGCTGTTATAGGGAAGACACGATTCGGAATGGATACAGCCAAGCGAAATGTGCTGTCTTTGTTCTCAATCACATAGGGGTAGATTATGTCTCTTACAACACAGTAGATAAAGAAGAAGAGACAGAGTGCAGCAGACAAATAGAAGGGGAACCTCCACATGGGAAATAGTTGCAGGGGGTAGTTTTCAATTTCGGTGGCTGCCTTGAGAGATCCTCGATCCAACGGGGTAAGTCCAAGAGCACAAACAATGTCCATCACTCTTTGTTTGGCTTTGCTGTCATTTCCACAGACAAACACCTGGGTTCAAAATAATTAATTCTGTATTTACTCTTTTTTTGGCATTTAATAATTGTTTTGAAAGTATATACAAGCACCATGCAGAACAATGACCTGTCAGAGTGAACTGTTTCTCAAACAAGGATGTGGAATTAACATATACAATGAGATGTTATTTAAACTAGCACAGGTGTGCTGGAGAGCTAGCTAAGTATTTTTTTATTTTTTATTTTTTTTAGGATTTTTACTGAAGGGTGGTTTTAGGCACTCTGTGTCGATATAAGACTTGACAAAGAAGACTTGGTGGTCTCCACAGTGTGAGTGGCTTGATCTTTTTTCTGTATTAGTGGGTGCCACATCACTTACGATGGCTTCTAATCTCAGTGCACAAATGGAACCAATTTTGTACAGGTAATGGGAGTAGAAGAGGATATTCAACAAGCTATATTAGTTTCTAGTGCTGACAAGAGAAAGGCTTCCAGAGACTGGTATTAGTGGGTTCCATCAAACTAAAAAATTGAAAGTGTGGACAATGGGAAATAAATCACAATAATTGACTATCATACATGGTCAAACCCAAGAAAATTATTCTTGGTACATATTAGAAATATAAAATATTTACTGGGCATTTTATTTGGAGATTGTATTTTCTGACCTTTGAGGTAAGTGCACATTAAAAGATTCACTTTTTAAAGAGTGAGGGCAAATTCATTTAATCTCACCTGCCGACTTGCATCCAGTGCTCCTGACTGGAGAGCCCAGGCTGAAATGGTGTTAAATGCTTTTACCACATAAGCTCCCTGCACCAACTGAGCAAGGTATTCTGCATTAGATTCTGGATACTGATTAATTTTGGGGTTGTTGCTGACATCTACCAATATTTTCCCGTTGAGATCCTCAGTTAGTTCTCTGAGAAATTCATAATGCTCTCTGTGGATTGCAATAAATATGATGTCAGACTTCTGGGCAGCTTCTGAATAGCTGAAGACCTCGGCACCACTGTGCAGCAGGCTGGACATCCTGGAGTTTCGACTTCCAAATATAACAGAATAACCACACTGGAACATTTTAAATCCAAGTGATCTTCCAAAATCTCCTGTTCCAAAAATGCAGACAGTCTGTGGCTTTTCTGAAGAATTCATTGTAAGAGGAAGCATAACTGTACAAGTTTTCTCCATTACTGAAAAACATATACACAAATGCTTTGGTCATGGAAAAATTAATGAGAATTATATGTAGGAATTAGTGTAATTATATGATGTCTAATGTTCTGGTTATCTCAAGAGTATTCTCCCTAAAATTAGGTAAGTACAAATTGTCATATATATTTTATTGAACAAAATAACTGGTAAAAATCTTCTCTGGATAAAGTGAAAACAAAGATACTTGCTGATGGATGTCTTAAACAGTGGACCTATATTACATTAATATTACATTTATTAAACACTTGTGATTCAAAAAATTCTCAGAGCAAAATATGATAAGGTATGTGCTAATAAATTATAGAACAATTCACTTACATTTAGTTATATAAAAATCCCAAATAAAACTTTAGTAAACAGAATCCAGCAGCTTTTTTAAGAGAAAGTACAATTGGTTAAATGGGCGTTATTCTAGGAATGTAAAGATTAGTCCTAAAAAATAAAGAATAGTTCTATAAATTCAACATTAGAAAATCTATTAATATAATTTACAATATTAGAAAATTTATGGAGAAAAATATGGACATATCTATGTATAAAAGTAGACATATGTTAAAATTCCACATTTGTTCTTCATTATAGTAAAATAATATATATATATGTGTGTGTGTACACACACACACACATATATATATATATATATTCCCTAAGTACACAAAAAGTGTCTATCTTAGCCTAAACTACACTGTTATGCTTAAAAGAGAATTACTAGAAAAACTCATAGTAAAATCAGAAACCAGAAAAAATTGTTTGCTATGACTTTAGTTATTTTTGTTCTAGATGTTCTACCTAATAAAACTAAATCAGACAAAGAATTTAGAGGTATAGAAATGCAAAAGAGATTGCAGATAATTAAGCCAAGACTTGGAAATTCCAGGAAAATTAACAAAAAAATCATCCATATATACAAACAAAATTCAATATTTTGTCTCAGAACCTAATTAAAATCAATATTAATAATACATCCTAAAGACAAAGTAGTTAGAAGATTTAATTGAATAAAGGCCCCTACTATCACTGCAACAAAATAGACAATATGAAATAAGATAGAAAGATGTGTGCAAGACATATATGAACAAAAATTTTTAAATGCTTTTAAAAATTGAAGATTTGCTAAATGGAAATGTATGGTATGTTCTTGGATGAGAAAGTTCAGCCCCACAAAGACATCGTTTTCCTTAATTTAATATAAATTCTGTAAAGTAGGATAATTAATGGAATACTAGTCCTATTAAACAATTTAAAATTTTATAGAGCTAAAATAATTAATGTGCTACTGTCAAAGGAACAGAAATAGTCCAATGGAATAGAGTAAAAAATAAAATCTGAAATATACCCAAACACCTATACTTCAAGTTGATGAGAAGAAGGTGGATTATTCAATAGTTAATATTGGTCAATTGGAATAAAAAAACTGAATCCATACCTTATACCATATTCCAAGTTAAATTTGATATATATTAAACATTTAATTTTTAAAAAATAAAACTACAATAGAACAGGAAGCAACCATGGTGAATGCTCTTATTATCTTAGAGGAGGAAAGCCCTTTTGCAACATGATTAAACCATGAGAGTAGATGGGAAAATGTGATTACATAAAAGTCAATAACTCTTGCAAAGCAAAAGAACTGAAAACAAAGTCAGAAGATAACAACAAACCAGCAAAAAATATTGTCAACTAGTACAAATCAATAAGAAAACCCCTAATTGTCTACTAGAAAATCGGACAAAGGATATGAGCTGATAGTTCATTCTAAGGAAGTAGAAAATACTTTTAAATATAGTAAAAGGTCCTTAATCTTACCCCCAAATAAAACAAATGCAAGTTAAAACTAATCTGAGATGTCATTATGAATAGCTAATGACATTTAAATAAAAAAAATTCTATGATCTAATACCGTAACCTAGGCTACTATCCATACTTGTGAAGAATATTATTTCTTCTTTCGGTGTTGATTTTTTCTTAAAATTTCTCAACATTTTGTTTAAGCCTATAGTTAATCTTTTTTGGGTGGAAAAGTCTCTGTTTTCTAATGATGTATCCTCAGTGTTTAGGAGTACCATCCACCACAGTCCAGGCACGGGACAAATATTTGTTGAACAACACTAGAAGAATGGAGTGCAGGAGTTGGTGACTTTGTCCCAGGCACAGTGTGACATCAAGAAGCCCAGTGATCAAAGAGAAACCAATGGGCAAGGGGAGGACATAAGGAAAGAAGTAGAGGAGGACATCGTTAATGACATTACTTCTTTCTCTCAAATGGGTTAAAAGTAAACTCGATGAATTTTCAAAACAGGATAAAAGGACAAGAAATATAGGACTTTCCTGTACTTGCTCAGAAATTCTGAATAATTTAACTAACCCAATATTGAAATCATTTTATAAACCAGCTGGTGATATCCTGAAAGGTGTCAGAGAAGTCATGACCACATATGGAAAAGCACCCATGATGATCAGGGCTGTTCACATAGAAGCACATCTGTGCCATTTAGAACATTTTTAGTAACACCTATTAATATAACCTGGCTTAGCAATTTAAATTATATAATATTGTTAGTTGCTAATCAGTTAATAACTTTATAATTCAAACCCTCAAACTTCCAACTGATGGCTTAATTATTCTACCCTTCAGAACTGGATTGTATGCCCAAAGAAGGCCTCCTCCATATTTATTCTGATATATCATTTTTCCCTCTTTCAAGCCGGATGGAAATTGGCAAGCAAATTATTGACTTGAAGTTGCCAGTGTCCTGCAATAAGATTAATTATATTTTCATTGGAATTATCTTCATCATTTCAAAAAGACTGATTCCAGATTTTGACTATTTGGGCCATTACATTAATTTATCATAATTTGCCATAAACTTTTCTTTGAAATGAAGATATTGACTCCATGGTACTATTTTTTTTTTGTTCTACCTCTTTTGAGCAATGTGATCTTGGGCAAGTTACTCAAACTCTTCATGCCTCAGTTTCATTGTCTTTAAAATGAGAGATTTATAGTACCTAAATTTGTTCATATTTTATTTTAATTTTTCCCTCATAAATGCAGCTTGACAGGCAATGTAGTATACTTGGGCTATACTTGAGAGTGAAATTTATTTTCACTCTCAAAACTTCAGAGACAGCTGGTCTTGGGGGTATATGCCTGTAAGCCCGGCAGCTAAGGATTTGAGGCAGGAAGAGTACAAGTTTGAGGGTAACCTGTCTCAAAATAAAAAAGGCCAAGGGTAGTAACTCAGTGGTGGACTGCCTTGGGTTCAATTCCCAGTGCATGAACGAATAAACTGAAGAGATTGTTGAGCAAATTGAAGCTGCAGAAATGATGAGAGGTTATTAAAATATCACTGGTTGACATAATAGAAATACAGTACGTATATTCATTGGACAGTTGGTTAGTTGTCATGCAAGTTACAGAAATGTTAAGGTTGGTAATTTTTTAGTCATATTGAGCTCCATTTCAAATCTTCCTGATTCTACTTCTAGTCTCTGGGCAGTAGCTGAGCTCTGCTCAAGCTCTAGTGCCTAACAGGAACTCATTTTTTACCTCCTGATTCTTGTCCTGGAGCTCCCTTGAAGTTTGAGCCTGTCTGGTGCTCAGATATGCACAACCCTTGGGGCCACCACAGATCAACAGGGAGGAGAACTCCATGAGTAAATACTTCCTCTTTCTTTTGGCACACAGTTCTGACACATTTCATAAGACTCTTCACACAGTCCCAGTGGAACAAAGATCAGTCATCTACAAGTGGCTGACTCAACGTGAGTTCAAGTTAGTACTGTCTTTCCCAAGCTCCCGGGTTGTGCCCTCTGCCACTGACTCTTAGTTTCCTAGAGTCACCTTCCTAATAAACTATCTGCATAGAAGTCTTTGTCAAGACTTTGCTTGCAAGATCACCCAGGACAATAAACTATGCTAATGATTTTGAAATGAAAAGTGTTACCACAAAATGGGATGATTATATAAATAACATGCAAAAGAATAAAAAGTAATTTTGGGGACGAATTTAATTCTGATTGGAATTCAATTCTGATTGGAAAATATATCCTAATAATAGGAGTTCATAGAAATGGAATTTATGCATACTCCCAGTTACAAGGGAGATTAAATTGAGGGTGCATTTTATAATAAGCATTATATAAAGAAGGCCTTTACACCCTTGCCAGACATAGTTGTAACTAAAAATAGCTATGTGTAAACATATGGATTCATGTAGATAATAAGATTTCTTGTTCAAAGACTTAAGAAAACTTTCCTAGGTAGAAGAAATACAGAAAAGAAAAGTGGTAAACAGGTAGGATACTTAAGAGAAGGATGTGTTAAAATAATAAAAACATAGCATACTGTTCTCCTTTCTTTCCTTCAACCCATGCGTGCCCCATAAAACTCAATTATGTAACAGGTCACACAACAGGATTAAGTATTGTCTTAGGAAATCTCTAGGATGGTTTACGTGCTATAGAGGCATCTCTTAGCAACATCCCAGGGGTAGCCAAGGTACATAATGTGATCCCACAGGATCTTCTACATAGATTAGAGATTAGAATCCAATTAAGTTGGTAAAGTGGCCTACCATGAAGGTCATGGAAGCATTAGTCACTGAAAAGTGTGTGTGTGTTTGTGTGGGTGTGAAAGAGAAGCATATATGAAGGGATCAGGTGTGGGTTAAGAAGAGTCTTGCCCATTGTTTCCCTGGGTCTACCTATCCCTCCCCAGGCCTTGGGAACCGAGGGAGCATTCTTTAGGGGTGTTCCCAACCAAGCCTCCCAAGAGATGTTAGGGCCTGTCTGGTGTGTGGGCTTTACATCTCGCATTTCTCAAGAGGTCGGAGATTTGAGAGACCCAGGCTGTCTACAACTTTTGAGAACTCCAGTGTATTAAAAGCATGGAAATGTCGAGACAGGATTTTAAAATCATATATTTTAAATACTTATACTTAAAAAAATCAATGCTTATGTAAAGAAAAAACAAGTA